CTTCCCATGCTTAAGTCAATTTCACAGTCTATATTCATCCTGCTTTCCAAATTTGATTGATAACATATTGATAACCAGATTGTTTGGGTCTGACATTATAATGTTAATACATGAAAGATGGAATAAAACTCTTTCTGTTCTGCTATCACTTTTGTCAAAAGAATGTTCAGTGAATCTTAGCAATACTAAATGCTCAATAAAGAGTTGTCGAATCAACTATGATTTGGATAGAGAATAAACATTTAAAAGGGTAAATGGAAGAAAAGATTCACCATAATAGGTAGCTTTTAAATGAGCACTAGTTGTTTTAGAAGAGACTCATTAGTTCTAGATAAATTATATTCCTGAGTCCTGAGAAAGTAATAGGTGAGATTGTTGCCAGACCAAATCAATGTGTATTCAATTTATTTAAAACCAACAGAATGAGTGAACAAATTCTTTTTGTTCGGTGATTTGGTGATTATAAAAGTAGGAAGCTTGTCCAAAGTGAAAAAAAAAAAGCCCTAACCTGCCAGCAAATATTCATTTATAGCAACATTGTAGGAAAACTCTTCCAGGTAATCTTATCTACAATTTATTATATTCTAAGCGTATTTAAAGAGATATATGTTCTAAATTGAGTTTCAACAGTGCAAATGAGCTAATTTGAAAACACTTGGGATATGTTTTCCAGGAAGATTAAAATCCAGCTTTCTGAAGGCAAGAAAATATACTTACTTTGTACTGAGTTTCTATCTACGTTTATGTATATATCGATATATATAATTCTGCTTAATTATTTGTTATTTTTTTTCTGTGACTATATAGATTCACTTTCAGAATACCTGCTTATAATAAATCTGTTATAAAACATTCATAATTAATTCAATCCATTATAATATTAGAAAATCTCTAAATTATTCCTTAATTTATGAATATATTAAAGTATGAATACTATGTGATATAATGTGAGAACCTCAACATGTTCATTACAGATGAATATCCTTGTCAAAATAATTATGAAGGTATTTTAATATATTTGTAATGATTTTCTCACCCTATATGGTACATTTTGTAAAACAATAACTTTATTAAAAGTACTTTTGTCATAGCAATAAATTAGTAATGAGCAAGTCTATTTTGAATTGACTATTATCTAGACAAAGCTGGTAATAAAAGAGGTTCTAGGAATGCTACTTATCTTCAGAGACTATACATACAATTTTCAAATAGTGATGCAATTAGAAAACAAAATATTATACATGTTTTATAATGTTAGAACTCGAAGCACTCTTAGAGATTATTCTTATCATTCATTTTAGAAACGAGAACACAGAAATATAGAGTGGAGAAATGGTTTGCTAAACATCACAGTAATCACAAAGACCGAGCTTAAGTGGAGTTGTAAAGGAATCCAAGTCTCATAACTAAGTCAGTAGCATTTAACCACTGTAACCTATAGTAAGAAATCAAATCTTCATATATGCAAGACATATGCAGTATCATGAGAACCACTAAAATAGAGAGGATACTACCTAGTATTTGATAACACAATGCTAAGACACCTTGAACTCTAAGATATATCTCAATTTCCAAGGTGTTAAAAAGTGGAGGAAGTCTTACAACAATTTTTATCATATGTACTATATAACTAAAATAGAAATTTTACATCATTAGTATGTTTTTAACCTTCTCCTATGATCTTTTCTGGCAGCACCTCATTTTGTTTTTTTCTATTTTATTCTATTTATTTTTTAAAAATGGTGTTCTGGGTCTACCAAATTGATTTTGTCACCCACTAATGAGTTGACCTGATCTAAATACTAATCTAAATCATGTGTCACAGATAATTAGAAACCTTGTTAACATATACAACCTAGGTGCTAATTGTTCCATTGGATAGTAAGGGCAGAAGAAGAAAAGAAATACTCTAATGTAGACAGAAAACAATTGGAAAGTTTTCAAATTAGAAAGAAGAGTTAAGGTTTGAATAGATGGTAATATATAGTAAGATAAAGGGCAGGAAGTGAGTGATTGAGGAACCTAAACTGGGGAAACAAATCTCACAAATGTAATTGTAAAAAAGGAACTGTTTCTTTCTTTTTTTTTTTTAAAGCTAATCATTTAATTTTATTTAAAAAATTGTAATGTTTTACCTAATAAAATATGTAGTAACCTGAAAGAAATACAGCTTCCAAAGTATGAAACTATATACAACCAGCAGATAGAACTTGACACAATTTTTTGATTCTTCTTTATGCAAATTCAAGGGGATCAAGTAATTTGATAGTGAAGTGGACTAAAAACAACTGACTGGACATTATCCTTCCTGCTTTTCAGTGCTTCTTTGTAGATTAAAGAATTAATGCAAACATAAAGCTTTGAAATCCCTTTCTGGTCAGTTCTATGCTTTAAAAAACAAAATCCCCGGTTATAATGAGGGAACCTACATAAAACTAGTTAACTGACATCCTGAGCGTCTTTTGCCTACATTCAACTTCATAATTTTAGCTCCTTTCCTGGCGAAAAGCAAGCAAACAAAAACAAGCCCAGAAGCCTATTTTGTGTGTGTATGTAAAATATGCACACCACAGTGCAAATGCATGAGCACAAAGAAAAAAGGTGCAAAATTGGCAGCTAGGAAATGTCACTGCAGTCGTTAGTAGGTGAAATTTCAATCCTCTGATGAAGATACCATCTTTCAGCCAAACTCTGACAGAAAACCTTTGGTTCTTGTAAGACCCCTCCCTCCCCGTCAGCTGCTGGGCTCTATCTGGAGAAATGGGGACTCTCCTTCTTCATCAAAGCCAAGCAATCCCAGACCCAGGAGCAACCCTGGGTTCCTGCGGTGCACTCAACTTGCAGTGAAGTGTCCCAACTCTGCAAAGGACAGCTGGCAATGGATTTAAAATGGCAACGCGGACCAATCAGAGAGGCCGCGCCTAAGCGGACATTTACACGCGCCTCCTCCACATGCACAGTGGAACCTGGCGGTGCCTAACACCCTGCTTGGGGCTGCAAAGCAGACTTTATTCCACGGTGGTCTGTACCTTGGAAAGAAAAATTCTTCCCCGAGTGAAAGTTTTAATTTTGGAATTGGTCCAAAATAATTTTGGGTGTGATGTGTGAAAATCTGAACCTAATTTTTTTTTCAGAGTTTTGTGTTATTCGAGGATGAAAAAGAGGTACATTTTAAAATGTACTCCACCTTTTAAAAAAGGACTGTGGCCATTACTGTGTTCACATAACTCAGAAACAGTCCAGGCTATAAAATTAGGACTTGGCAGAAAGGGAGTTCTTTGGGAGAAGGTTAAGTCAAGGTAAACTGAAGGGAGAGTTAGGCAGTTGGTGCGACTATGGTGTTAGGATTCTACGAGGTCACTTTTACTCTTGGGGCGTCAGAACCCGCGTGGGTAGCGCCAGCCTGGGGGAGAGTTCTGTGGCCCCACTCTTTCCCAGAGAAAAAAGCTCAAAGGGGAAGCTGGCGCGCTCTGCGTGCCTGTGTGCATTGTTTATACGTGTCTGCGAAAGTGCACGTCTGTGTGCCAGTACGTGTGTTCAAGTGCGTGTATTTCCATGTGTATTTACGAGTGCACGTGCGTCTGCGTCCAAGTGTAGATGTGCTTACGCGTGTGAGCATGAGTACCTTTGTGCATGTTCTCTACGTGCGTGCGCGGGCTCCCCGGCGCGCTCTGCGGTGGGGGATCCCCAGACGGAGCAGGGCTGTCAGGGCCACCTCCTACTGCTCAGCAGTCCCTTCCCACTCACAGTGTGAACTGGAAAACTGCCGCCCCTGCAGCTAGACGCTTCCGGCAAAGTTTGGCATCGAAGAGGCGCAGGTAAAGGCCAAGCCCCGAAAGGCGGCTCTGGGACAGTCCTGTTCCCGCGCCTTTCCAGGACAAGCGCCGGGGGTGGTGACCTCCGGCGGCCGGAGGGGCGAGGCCCAAGGGGAACCGGCTCGGGATCCCCGGCCTGTCCCTTTAACCCCGCCGCCGGGCAGGAGCACGTGAGCAGGGCTCCGGGTGGCACCCGGGCGCCGCCGCCGCCGCCGCCGCCGCCGCCGAGGCAGTTGTTTCGAACGCTGCCTCTGGCTCCCGGCCAGGCGCCTTGGCTCGGCGGTCCGCCTGGCCTCCCTCCTCCTCATACTTTTCCTCCTGCGCAGCCCCCTCCCCTTTATCCGCCCACGATTAGAGGTGGGCACTCCCCCCCCCGCCCCGCCCGCTACCCCCTCCGCAAGCGCGCACACACTCATCCCCCTTGAATCCTGGGCCAGGAACTCAGAGACTCCCAGCCCGGGCAGCGCGCACTTGGTGCAGGACGCGGGAGCTAGCAGCCCGTCCCTCTCGGACTCTGGTGCCGCCGCTGCCTGCTCCCGCCACCCGAGGAGGCGCGGTGCCACCCACTGCTTCTGTCCCTCGGTCCCTCGCTCGCGTCCGGTGCCCAACCCTATCCCGCCAGAATCTTCCCATCCTCTCTTTGCTTTCCGACTGCCTCGTCCCTTTCTCTCCCTTTCTCGCTCGCTCGCTCTCTCTGCGCGCGGAGGGGGGGGAGAGGAGGAGGAATTCTTTCCCCGCCTAACATTTCAAGGGACACAATTCACTCCAAGTCTCTTCCCTTTCCAAGCCGCTGCCGAAGCGCTCCCAGTGCCCGCAAATCCTGATCCCAAACCGCGAGAAGCGTCTCTTCGACTCCGAGCCTCTTCCTCTTCTCCCTCGCTTCCCTCCTCCTCCTCCTCTCGCCACCTCCTTCTCTCGCCACCTCCACCTCCGGCGCTCACCCACCGCGGCGTCCGCCACCGGCAGCGCCTCCTCCTCTCCTCCTCCCCTCTTCTCTCTCTTTGGCAGCCGCTGGACGTCCGGTGTTGATGGTGGCGGCGGCGGCAGCCTGAGAAGCAGCAGCCCTCGCCGCACGCCAGCTCTCGCTCCCCTCGCCTGCTCTCCAGCCCCCCACCCAGCCTTCCCAAAGGTGCTGGGCAGATTCCGGGCGGCGGAGGCGAAGCGGCTGCAGCGGCGATAGCGGCGGCGGCGGCGGCGGCGGGAGGCAGGATGAGCGCACGCGGTGAAGGAGCCGGGCAGCCGTCCACTTCAGCCCAGGGACAACCTGCCGCCCCGGCGCCTCAGAAGCGAGGACGCGGCCGGCCCAGGAAGCAGCAGCAAGTCAGTACGCGGACGCGCTGGGAACCCCAGCCCACCCCTGTTGTCTCTGCGAGGGCCCCGCGACGCGCCGGGCGACCTGAGCGCGGGAGCCTAGTGGCCGCGGCGGCGGCCGCCCGCTGCGGGGCGGACGGGGACGGGGGCGGACGGCAGAGTCCCCCAGAGAGAGCCGCAGAGTCCCTGGGCGCCCGAGCCCCCCGGGGCCCTGAGGTGGGGGCCGGCTGCCGGCGGCCGCGGACTGGCAGGAGTGGGGTCGGGGGAAGCGCGTCCTCAGACTTTCGCTATTGTGCACGGCCCGAGTGGCGCGGTGTCGCCTGGTGACTGGCAGCGGCCGGCCTCTCACAAACCGGGACTCGACAACGCTTTCTGAGCCACTTTTGCAGCTGCCCGAGGAAAGTGGTCGCCGGGGACTAAGGCGCTCAGGCCGGCCAGGGCTGAAAGAGTTGGTATCCTGGGGGCCCTAGGGTCTTTCTTTCTCCCGCCTCTCGGGGTTGTTTGCGGACGGGAGGGTGGCGCGCCGCAGCCACCCCCTTGGCGCCCTCTCCAAACTCTTGGTGGTCCAAGGTTTGTACCCTCCCGACAAAGAACGCGAGGGGACCTGGCTGCCGGGTGATCTCTGGGATCTTTAAATGCCGAGCAGCAGCCGCCAGCGGTGGCCTGGAGAAGGGGCTACAGGGAAACCTAGGCCCCCGCGGGGGGACAGAGTTAACTCGCCCCTCCAGGGGCGCGTTGGACGGAGAGTCCGAGAGAGTGCACGGTAGCTAGGGTCACTTCCTCACCAGGCGCCCCGTCTGCCTTTTGCTCCTGGATCCCAGACTCTAGAGCTGCAGACTTCCCGGGACGAGTGGTTAGGGGCTGGGAGGGGACAGTCGAGGGGCGCCGCGGACCCCGCAGAGTGGAAGGTTTTGTCTGCGGATGCAACCAATTAAGCGTGCAGCCGCCTCTTGCAGAGCTCCGCTCAGCGCCCAGGGCGGGGGTTTTGTTCGCTGAAATTTCCAAGGCTAGGCGGGCAGGGGTGGAGTGGGACAGGACTATTGAGAACATGTAAACTCCACTTCCTCGGTTTTAAAACTTCTCTTTCATTCCTTTCCCTTAAATCGCTTTCCTTTTGGCAAATAAATCAAATAACCCTAGAATCCCAAAGCCAGAGGAAGGGGAAGGTGAGGGAAATTGAACAATGTTTGTTGCCCGTACATTTTAGGAAAAACGGAGAGAAGGTTGTATCTTTCTGAATCTATCAAAGGAAACCAGCCAATCTAGAGACCTCTGAGTTTTCCCGCTCTGCGCAGGCGACACTTCTTAGCACGTTTGGATCCTGTTTTACACCTCCCAGGAAGTCTCTGTCCTATCCTTCTTGTTTCCCACTCTCGCTCCGCTAATTGCATCCTCCTCATTTAAAAAAAAAAAACTAAAAGAAAATGCAACGGTATCTGGAGGTGATTGGAGGTCTTACCTTTGAGTTAAGACAGAGTTCACAAAGAAAGAAAAATGTGTCTTCGATGTGTTTGCTCAGGATGTGCCCACTGGCGCTAGTATCCCAGGGAAGGAACCTTTCCCAGATTCTCTCAATAAGAAGCGAATTTTCATTGAGAACTGTACTGCATTTTAATTAGTCTTATTTAACCACTGAATCTGAATGAAATATGAATAGATGATTCACAAGGTAAATATTTAGAATCTGGAATATTAATCATCACATTTTCTTAACCACTTGTATTTACTGCTTGGCATAGGAGCCATTTAAAGTTCTGCTAAACCTAGTGACTGTTTCAATTTCTCCTTCTCCAATACTTCCAGTCCTCTTCACTTTTTTCCTCCTTTTAGTTTTCTCCACCCCATCCCTGTAAGTTTTCTCAAAAGAAAGTTTTGAAGAAAACATGTTTATTTTTATAAAAAGATATTAAAATTTTGACTGGAGACCATGCCTCCCTCTCGGAAAGGAAGTGGAGAATTGAAGCAATTATCTAGATAATTCAAGCAAAACCTCCCACCTCAGATTTACCATAATTATTTGGAAATTTTAGAAGGAATAGAGTTAATTTGAGCTGAAGAACTTGGATAATTGCTCCAGTCTTTAGCTCAATGTGTCGATTGCATCCTAATTGACCTACAATGCAGGTATGTACAGAAGATTAAAAGCCACCTTTAAGATGGGAAATTGTTGGGATATCTACAGTGCTGAAATATCTATGGCTAGCTTCATATTTCTGTTGTTTGAAATGCTAGTATAATGGAAGTGACATTCACCTAAAATGCTTATTATTTCTATGAATTGCCAAATGCTCACACTTCTAAATTTTATACCTTAAAATAAATTATTTTCTTCCCAAAACCTGCAATCTTTTCAGGCTTTCCTACCCTTGTAGGTATGCAATAGAACCTAGTTTTCATATGCAAAATAGTTTCCGCTTTGAATCCTTGGATTAAAAGTATAGTTATTTCCTCTTTCTGTAAACTTGGTACTATCATCATTTATCCTTGAAATGTGTTCCAACAGCTCTGTTGAGCAGCACATGCAGAAAATACAGCTAAAGAGTCACACTCAATTTCTTTCACACGGTCTTGCCACAACAGCATCTTTTTCCCCCCCACAATTAGGAGCCAACCAGTGAGCCCTCTCCTAAGAGACCCAGGGGAAGACCCAAGGGCAGCAAAAACAAGAGTCCCTCTAAAGCCGCTCAAAAGGTGAGAATTCTCAAGTCACCCTCTCTTAACTTCATCAATGACTTTAGGAATCACCCTATATTTTTTTCCCCATTCTGTATCCACACTTAAGGATTTTCCCTAGGTGGGTAACCCAAGACACATTTTCTACATTGAACATTAGATGGGAGTTAATTTTTTTTTCTTGCAAGTACAAGCTGAATGTAAAAGGTTCATGAAGATGCTTACAATGTTATTTTTAAACAAACACCAAATATTATGAACCTTAATTGGGGGTGGAGGGATGAGGAAAGGGCTAGGGGATGGTGGGGTAGCAGTGGAGAAGGATACAATTAATATTTGCAGCAATTGTGAAATAGTTAAAAACAAATCAAAACTTTAGATTCTTCTTGTTGGTGAAGTTTTTGCAATTTCCTCTGAAAAATGATGGAGATGAATTTACTTTGTACTTATTTACATGACTACTGTAAGCCTAGTCACTCTGTTAAAAGTACTTTCTGAAGTGGATGACAATTAGAAGTAAATACAATTACATGAATACTGCAAAAATTTCATGAATTTTACAACTTTAAATGTGATGATAGTTTGTTTTATAATAAACCTGCAATAAATTATGTATATCATAATCTCAAGAAAACTCGTCACGTGTTATGCTCTGAATTGGACAATGACAAGTTTTTAAAACAAATATTTGACTCATTTAATATATATTTTTGGGCAGCGTAGAAGCCAGTCAAGTTTAATATTCAGTATTTTTCTTAATAAAATTTAAATTGCAGTTTAAGATAACTTCATGTTGGTTGTATTTGAATTAGCAAAGAAGAAATATCTCAGGGTAAATGCAAGTATAGCAAAATGAAGGTGAACATAAGTCACTAATTTTGTCTTTATAAGTAAATTAAAAGAAGTTACATTTTATTTGTAGGTTTGTGTAGTAGTTTAGAACAAAGATTAAAACATCAGAAGTAGACTTTTAATACATCTTTTCAACAGATTGGAATATACCATATACAAAAGATCATGTTAAAAAGAACTATATGCTCATCTTTTGGGGATTATTGTTTTATATATGTGTGTTTTACTGTGATTGTAGGCACAAACCATATTATATATGATAGTTTTCAGTGTTGTGAACTGCCATAATAACTAGTAGTACATAGAAAGTTATTTGGGAAGTAATTATGAGTTTTACCTGTTTTAACAGTTTTGAATAGAACTGAAGGAGGAGATTTCTCATATATTTAAATTTAACTGCTTCATAGGAGTTAGGATTCACACACAATCAAATTTTACAGTAGCTCTAAGTATCCTTGTTTAAAAGTGACAATATATAATCTGGTATTCTTAATGTAAACACTATTTATTCTGTTTTACCTGGTTTATACATTAACTAAAAAGCTAATCTTGCCAAGGAGTTAGATTCTATGTTGTATAAGTGTGGAATTAGTAGGTAGCTAACAAACATTTAAGCTGTATAACATGTCCCAGGAAGAAACTCTTAAAACTCAATATAAGTAAATTATTCAAAATTTAATACAAAAAAGGAAATGAACTATCTTCCAGATTTTATTCCATTACATTTATTTGAAGTAGATAAAAATATTTCCATCCTCTCTTCATTTAAAAAAGTTTACCACTAACAGCATCTTTATAGACAAAAGGAAAGCTGAGACTTACGTCTAATTTACTACCCAAAGCAAAATAACCAAAAGTTGACCTATTCCCAAGTAAGGATTGATTTATTTTCAGTGACTTCAGTAATAAACATTTTCAAATGACCATACTAGATCATTAGTATTTCTGATAAGTCTTCCTATGTATACATATATTACTACAATTTGCAAAACACAAATAGGGTTTCTTTTCCTAAAGAAGTCCTTCAGAAGTATCTGAAATCTTTCATCCTTTCAAACACAATTATTTCATATAACTTTGTTACAAAATTGCTTCTGATAAAATTGAAAAAATACATTTGCCCATAATGTAATTGTTCTTTTTCTTCAGTTTTATAAATTACTCTTTATTTGCAGAATATAATATTTTTTCAAAGTAATAAATGACATTGATGAATTGTTTATGGCTTATATAGACTTAAGTTGTTTTCATTTTCAAATCAGTATTTATTGAGTATGCTACTACCTTATATAAACATGATTATTAAAGATATCCTTGTTATTCAAATATATATTGTATTCTAATGAAGCATATGTTCATTAAGGTTTGAACTGCAAATCTTTTTAGAAAAATTTATATTGTTCATAACACACTACAAGAAAAAAATACCTTGTTAGACTGACCAGAGTAGATACGAATCTTCTGTGATTAATTGGGTATTTTTCTGCACACTGAGGCACATCACAATGAAAAATATATTATAAAAACTGGTAAGTATATGAGAGGAAAAGAACTCTAAAATGAGAGGAGATCCATTGTACACTAAATCCTGATACTGTGTATTCAAAATTTTTTGCTGCTTGAAATTTCTTTACTTGCAAAGTTTGTGTTCAGATCCAGCAACTGACCTTGGGACATTTGAAAGCAAAACTGCTTGTTAGAAAATTAACAGTGTGAAACTTGACAGTGTATGCAGAATATTGAAAGATCAAGTGGAGGATTATTAAATTAACCATCACTTTAATTTCAGGCCACATTCAATAGAAAATTGATTTACATGACATGTAAAACAAGTTTATGAAAACACAATTTTTATGTTATTTCTTATGGCAGAGGAGATCATTGTTCATCAGTCTACTTATATTCCATTAAAACTCATTCCCATGGGTGGACCATTATGTGGGAATTCTATAGTCATTCCTGATAACTCAAGTCTGAGTCCTTAAACTTTGTTCCTGAGCCAGTCTTATACTGTAATCTGGAGAAAAGAAGAGCAGAAGTTGATGTTTTCCTAAATAAATAATTTGAGTGAGAAAGAAATTCTTAACTCTTTTGTTTGTTTTTAAGTTTGAGATACACTTATTATCAGATGTCTCTTAATTTCCTTTTTTGTTTTTTGTTTTCTTCTCATGATAGTGTTGGATGGAAATACTTTATATTTTTGCTTTTCTCATCTTTGGAGAGAAGGAAGATGGTAACCTCTTTTATGTTTTGTTGTTCTTTTTTAATCAGAGGATTGTCACTAATCCTTCTGTTTAAAGTCACAAGTCAAACTCATCTTTAGGTTTCAAAGCAGTTCACTCAAGTGCTTCTAAAAGTATTTTTCTGAGGTTGAGTTAAATTTTAATAGGAGGAAAGTGACTACAAAAAAAAGATCTCAGGTGTGAGGCAGCCTTACTTTGTAATGTTATGGATTTGCTTGACTTTCCTTTTGACTTTAGATGTAATGGCCAGACCTAGAAAACAAAGTGCAGATTGAAAATATCATCCAGGTAAAGTATGTATACTTTAAATAATGTGTTTGGAGTAAATATTTTGATTTTCTTCAATTTGCTGTGAAAAGAAGGGCTGATATTAACTGAGCACTATAATTTGCACTTCTACAAATGTGACTGACTTTTGATAAATTATTAATATCAATCACAGATATTTTAGGGAGAGATAATGTGGGTTTTACTTATCATGTCAAACCAAAAGTTCTAACTCATCACTTCTAAGAGTTCTAATTCTTAGAGCTTCATGAGAATAGAATTTTCTTCAGAATATAGTAGGACCATTGAAGAGTTACCAAAGGCATCAACAGTTATATGTAAGTCAGAGAAAGATGGCCTTGGGGGTTGTGTACTATTCCAGTCTATGGTTTCTACAATCGTAGTAGGAGTTAGCTTATTTTTCTGTGTTTTAATGGGCAGGTAAGTTCCATAATGGGATTCAGAGCCCTCTGTGAGTATACAAATAAATTCAGGCATATAGAATTTATTAGTTTATTGCTTCCAGTATGTTAGTAGTTTAAGCTCGCTTACCTAAATTGATTCACTTATTTATTTATTTGCTTCACTTTGCCAGGAAAACAAAGTCTTAATGTATCAATAAACTCTATCTGGCAATATTCCAAATATGGGAGATTCAAATACATTTGAGTTATTTTACTCATAGTAACTTGATGTCAGGGTACCCATAGTTAGAATCCTCTGGAAAGTATCAGCCTTCTGAGCCCTTTCATCAAAAGCTCCTCATTATTTTGGCTGACCTACATCCCTGGCTGATTTTTATCTCCAGGTCTCAACAGATCATTTTGCTAAAGAGTTTGAAGATACCAAATTGTATTCTCTTGCATTTCAGTTCTTTCTTCTTCAGAATAGGTGGATGCAGTAAAAAGCATTTTATGCCAGTTAAATCCTTTGAATAAGTCTTGTCCTGTTAGCTAACTTTGTGCAGTTTCTAAAGCTCACTTTAGAACTGTATAGCTTGGCACAAGGCTGAATTTCCAGGTCCTAGATGCTGCAGTTTTCAGTTATGAATCTGCAGTTATGTTCTGCCAACCAGGAGGAAAAAATGAGTGGAGAATTATTTATATTTCAGGCTATTGCTTGGTTTTACATTGCACCAAGGCAATGATTTTACAGTGCACTGAACAATTTTGAGTAGCATTTCCTATTTGATTTAGTGGGGACTAGTGTAGTCATTCTCCTTAGGATAATGTAGGAGACGGTTTGTGCAGAAGGTAACACTTGTGAACTCTTGAATCTCTGCTATTAACTATACATAAAGGGAAGATTTAAAGGAGGATCATCTCCAACTTTGAAAATGATAACTTTTCCTGTCTTTTTGGCCTGGATTTTAAGTTAGTGTTTGTACACGTGAAGACAGCCATGGGCAACATAAAGATGGGAGAGGTGACAATAAGGGCTTCCTTGAGTAACAAGCATAAGCTACAATAAGTGATGGAATTTCCCCCTGAAAAATGTATTGTGAGAACAAATTATAACTGCTTTTTAAGATTAAAAATGGTTGCGTTAACAATTGGGGAACTCACAGAGCTGGCCTATCAAAAAGGTAAAATGAGAATTTGCTCAGTGATTAGTTGAGTTAATTTTTATGTCAATGTACATTGCTTTACACTGTTTATATTTTAAGAGTAATTGAAAGAAATAAAATGTGATTTTCTAGATTTTGGTTAGTCAGTTCCATATACATTTAGGTCCAAGCAGATCTTAGTCTTTAAAATATATATATATATATATATATATATGTATATATAATGAGAACATTTAGAATTGCAAAAAATTAATAGCTATCTAAACTTGACCCTGAAGTTAGATTTGAATTATTCTTTTGATTCCCAATCATTATTCTTATCTATATCTTTACAAAAATCTTGAAAATATTTTACTTTCAACTGTTCATTTTTACCTTCGAAGGCTTTCTTTTACTTTTTAACTTCGTCATGGCAGTTTTATTTCATATGAGAATGTCTCCCCAAAGAACAAACCTTTCACTGCTTTGACATCAGATTGTGTCTTGGTTTTACTACTTATGAATTTAGGCAGGTCACTGTATTTCCCATGAAGTAGAAAATAGGGGAAGTAAATGGCTGCCCTACTTATGTAAAACTATGCTCGGAAAATCACTGGGAAGACTTATAGAATTGGTAGGTCTTCTTTTTAAGGGTAGCATTTTAAAGTAGGAGACAAATTATATTTGAGTACTTCACAAATGTCATAGCTGATAGGCACTACATATAAATATACACATATATATTGATCCTTCTGTTAGTTATTGTGATCCTTATTTCAGAAATGAGCAAAATGGGTTTCAGAGTCAATAAACTGATATGTTTAATGTTCAACTCAATTAAATGATGATACATGGCTTTGAATTCAACTCTTAATTCTAAAGCTTATCCCATTTCTGCTACTACGTACTGCCAGGTATTTTATAAAGTATTTGCTACATAGATTTCTACTATGTTGTGTGACCTGAGATGCAGAATTCAAATGGAGTTTTGAGAAACTTTTGGAGAGCCCCTTAAACCACAGTTCTATGAATTTGTGGATTACAGCAGTCCAGAAGTTTCCTTGTATGTTAAATGAGAAAGCTATAAGAAATGAAATTAAAATTTTGCTAAGTTCTCAAATTTTTATAACAAAAAGATAAAACACATAAACACCAGAGCTTCTTCCTTTCCCTTCCCTTCTCTCTTCCCTTCCCTCCTTTCCTCTCTTCTCTTCTTCCTTCTTTCCTTCCTTCCCTCCGTAGATATGTAGTGAATACCTCTTGCACACAGGCACTAACGTTAAGTGCTGTTTTCGATTTCAAGAGAGATATTTACTAGCTGAATTTCTTTTCTCAATTTTTCAAAAATGTGGAGCACATTTGAGAGCCCAGTGTATAAGAACTTCTTAAAGAAATAAATATATTTCCAGTTTAACATTCCTCCTCATTCTCGGTAACTTGCTTCTAAACATATTATAAAATTAAGTATACAGTTTGAATTCAAATTTAAAAAAAATAAAATGCAAATGAAGTAAGGAAATAATGCTTTTAACAAGCTATGATAGTTGTGAATACTGCTATAACAATCCTGGTAACTCTGAAATTTTAGTTCCTATGTCTCTTTTTCCCCTCTATATAAGCAATAAATACTTAGAGCTAGTTATGTGTCACTTATGCATTGGTTAGTAGTATAGAACCAAATTCTATTCAGGCAAAAGAAAACAAAATATACATTCCTACAATTTTGCATATGTTGACATATTAAGACAAAACAAGTCTCCCAAATGCTTTGTTTATCCTCATTGAAAAACAATATCTTGCAGAGCATTAAACACAGGAAAAACAACATTAAAGTCAGCATTTTTCAATATGTAACAATCCTGAATCTCTGCTGGTTTACAAACTAAAATCCTAACTTTTTTTGCAGCCTTTGAGGAGTTTGATTAGAATGATTAAATGATGTGGGTTTTTAAAAACAATTGCAAACCTCCCAGATCGAAGCCACACAGCACAGCTAATGTGTTTCTTCTAGATGTAGTCTCAGAAGAGAGTTTCGGTTTACATGTAGCTCTGGTCTGCGTGACCAAGGAGCAAGTTTGCTTTTGACAAGTCTGAATGATAATCATGGTATTTTGCCTTTTAGTTAATGGTATGAATTTTATTTCTCAATAGGCTTTTTGTAAATCAGATGCTCATTTAAAAGTTATCTTACTTGCAGGTCTTTCTTTGAGAGATTTGTTTCCTCTGACTTTGAAATACAGAGAAACCTTTTTTAAAAACTCTCTTCAATAGATTTCGGATACACCCAGATCACATCATGGCCCTGAAACTTAACAACTGTACGGAAAAGCCCGGCAGGACACCGTTAGCTTTAAGGTCAACTGCCATCTCCCCCAGCCCCACCTACTGTCCCCATTTCCATTCACATTAGAAAAGGATTTCTACCTTCCATGTTTGTGTAACTTACTCTTGGGTAAACTATGCAATCTTACAGTGGCTCCCAAAGATTAAATCAGAGCCTGTATCTCCTGTTAGGGAATTTTGTACTCTCGTAACTTAGTGTGCAGGAGCCCCACAGGGTTTTTGAAAAACTTTCTTCTATAAGTGATGGATGTAGTGGAATATTTTCTTTGGTTGAACCTTCTATGAGATTGGACTAACCTAAAGAAAAACTTTCCGCTTTAAGGGTTCCATCTTGTTAGGAATGAAAGAATGTTTATGAGCTATTCATTGATGGCAGGCACTTAAATATACCTTGATGTCACCTCATAGAAGGAAGTATCTCCATTTTAGAGATAAAATCAAATTAAGGCTTTCAGGGACTTGCCCAAAGTCATAAAGCCAAAATGGCAGAGTAGAGATTTGAAGTAAGCTTTCTAAAGTAGAATCTGTTCCTCTCAGGAGACCTCCTTCTCTCCAGGAGAAAACACTCTAAAAGGGAGTGTAGTTTCCTGAGCATTCCTGGCTTTCACTTAATTTAATTCATGCTCCCTGTGACTGAAGGTAAGGTGTTGCCACTAACCCTGACAATAAATGATTCCTTTGTGAAGCCATTCAAAAGTAATAACAATTCAGAGAGCCCAAACTTAACAGAGATCGTAGATTTCCTTGTGTTTTGGAAAATTAGCCGATACAATGACAGTTTGTTTCCAAATATTTTCTCTGGTATAAGGGCAGATGGCATTGTTGAGCGTTTAGGAGCGCACAGTTTGTGACATCAGCAATAACTTGAGTTTAGGCCACAGGTCTGCCACTTACTGGCTTATCCTTGGACAAGTTATTCACCTAACCTATCTGAGACTTAATTGCACATTTACAAAATAAGAGAAATAATAATACCCACTTTATAAGGCTGCTGGACAGATTAAAGTAGCACATGTGAGTGATTTAGCCTAGTGCCTGTGCTATTTTAAATTCGCAGTAAATGTAAGCTAACATTACAATCACAGAGTTTGGGTGAATTCATATGCCTGCTAGATAGTAATGCCAGATATCCATCTACTTATCTACATATCTATATCTATCTGTCATTTATGTATATGTATTTTTATTAGATTGAAGAGAGAAAGAGGAAAGTTGCATTTAGTAGTATAGACTATAATTTATATCTTCATTGGCTGTTAATGTAGGTAACAAAAGTAAAATAGAAAACAAATTATCCTGGCTCAGGTTAACTGTATTTTTGAGTTAAGATAGCCTTGAAATGATTCTTGTTCCCAGAACAGTGTGTACTGTTTTCTTTGTTCTGAAAAGTATAAACACATGTTTTCAGAGAAGGTAGATATGAAGCAGTATTTGTGTGTGTGTGCTGATGTGTTGGTGTACTGATGTGCTTGGAACTGGAGTAGAGGTGAAAGAAATGGGAAAAAGGCTAGTTACTTTATAAATCATGTTAAAAGTTTGATTCAATTGTTAAAAAAGTTGATGCCAGGAAAAAAAAAATCTGTGAAGTAAAACAATTAGACAAATCCTCAAGATAGTCGAGAATACATTCATGACCTGTTATTAATATAAATTTTTAATTAATCATTATTTTTAGGCAGCCATAGTTTTCATCTCAGGGACAAACACTGATGATTTTTACCAGCCTTTTATTTCTCTGCTTAAATTAACTGATTGACAAGTGATTGTTTTTGGCAAGAAACAGGAAATAAATCATGTAGAAATGGGCTGATGCTTATTATTTTGAATTAGAATGCTTATGTATTCTTTTTCACATTAAGACTTGCTTTTCACTAGCAGTATTGGTAGACATGTTTTATAAATTTAAATCAATACATCTGTAGTAATTTTTATAACTTTAGTTGTGATGTGCAAAGAAAATCATTTATTTTCTAAAATGCTAATTTATGGAATTATGAGATGTGGCACTATTTTTTACTGTGAACAGAAATGAAAGAAAATCGATTTTACAAAAGCATTTTAATGTATTTCAGAATAGATCACTCCAGGGGAGTCTTTTATGTTGAGGGGTTGCATAGATGCCTCTTTACCTAATGTAATGAAAAATGAAGACGTTACTAAAAAAAATGCAGAAGATGATGAACCTTAAAGGAGAAAAAGGTTATTAAAAGCATCTAGATACCTAATCTACAATCCAGAACATTCTTACTTGAAACATCTCCCTTGGCACAGTACTATAAATAATGTCAGGTAGGAAACTATGTAACTTCCTTTTTTCATTTTGCAGAAAGCAGAAGCCACTGGAGAAAAACGACCAAGAGGCAGACCTAGGAAATGGGTGAGTGATAAGACATAATTTCTGCTCTTTTAGTAAAGAAAAAATTGTTTTCTAAAAAATAAAACCATGAAAAATGTTAGTTTTACTTCAAGGATTACATAAATTATTAACTTCCAGTTTGATGAATCTTCGAAAAGGTTAACAAGTAAGTGAGAGGTTATTACTGCTTACCATTAGGCTCTGGGGTTTCCTCTGAGCACTTTGCTTTCCTGAAAGTCATTCCTCTATCTCTTATTAACATCAAAGGTGTCTCTCCTCTTCCTTCAGATGGGGTAATAATGAGATGACTTATTCTATGGTTTGAGTAACGAGGATTAAAGCTATTATGTAATCTTAGAAGTTGTTTATAAATGGTGATAAAATTCAGATGAAAATAACTTAACATTTCCTTCCTTCCTTCCTCCCTTCCTTCTTTCCTCCTTCTTCCCTCCCTCCCTCTCCCCTCTTTCCTTTTCTCTTTCTTTCTCTCTCTTTCTTTTTCTTTGGCTTCCCCCATGGCCTTGTTTTAAACAAATTGATTTTATAGGTAGCTTGTGTTTTCTCTCTGACACTGGCTTTGTTAGGAAACAGGGTTTTAATTTCCAGTTCTTCTTGCTTCCCATAGTCATCATTCGCTACATACTGACAGCAGAGATGATTCAAACGCACTTGACCCCACATGTGTACAGATGTTCAGAAATTCAGTGGTTGCTGAAGAACTTTTCTTATTTTACCACTTGAATGTTGTCCCCTTTGTCACCACATTACCCATGTTCGTCTGGTGTGTCTTTCCCCTGAAAGAGAAGAAAAGTCTTAAAATTAAGTACATCCGCATCTCAGAAAGGGCAAGGGCATCCGCTGTACCTGGTATAGTATATGATGAATTCTTACGTTTCCTTTTCCTTCCTCCCTGGTTTGTTCTTCATGCTCCACTTCTTTTTTTAAGTTTCTTTCCTGGTATCCTGGATTATATTTTCCTGTTAGTTTGCTATTCCTTTCTTCTTGAGTCCTGCATCACATTCTATTTATACTTTGGTATTGACTTTCACTTAATTTATTCATCTTGTATTCTTTTCTCTGCTTCGCATGTGTTGGGATTAAATTTCTTAGCAAAGGGAAATGGAGATGATTTTAAGATTAAAAACATCTCAGTGTTACAGTGCAATCTTAAAATAAAGGCATTTCATTTAGCTTGCATTCAATAAATGAATTCTCTCCAAACCTAAACAGTGCATGGTGGCCATGGAGCTTACCCGATTACCTTCAGTGTTACAGAACTCACTATTCCTTAAACTTGCCTCCTCCTTCCTGGAAAGCTCAGAACATTAAAAAATCTTCCATCTGACTCCCTGTAACTTCTTCCCATTGTCTCTAGCCTCCCTGCTAGGAATAGACAGAGTAAATGTTTTCACTTTCATGGTAGCTTTTCAAATTCTTACGGACAATTAATACAAACTCTTCGTTCATTTTTGTTTGATTATCTCCAATCCTTTCTTTTTTTCCCCTCATAAAGAAATATTCTTGTTATTCTTTTGTAAACATGTTTGTTTTTTAATGTTCTAAAATATGTCACCCAGAACTACGTATCATATTCCAGGTGTGGGTTCTATAACCAGTTAGTTTATCATGTCTTTTGCCGTACGTATGGTTCCAGTCAGTTATTGCTGTTTAATCAACTACCCAAAAACTCAATAGTGTAAAAAAACCCAACTATTTTATTATGCTCCTGTAGTCTTTGGGTCAAGAATATGGACAAGGCACATCAGAAAGGCATTATCTGCTCTAAGATCCTTGGCGCCTCAGCCAGTAGGACTCAAACATCTTGGGTTGACTCTCATACTTGGGGTTTAGAATTAGGAGGCTTCTTCACTTGTAAGTCTGGTCCTTTGATTGGCTGGAAGTCTGAGCATGTCGGGGAGTGTCCCCTGGTTGTGGACACATGGCATCTCCAGCTTGCTCGCCTCAGGGTAGTCAGCCATCTTATCTGCACTCAGAGCTCCCACAGAGTGTTCTGGTAACCTTGGAGAAACCGCAAGGCCTTTGTCTTAGTTACTTTTCTCTTGTTGCTGAGACAGAGTACCTGACAACCAAAATTAAAGAGGAAAGAGTTTATTTAGCTTACAGTTTGTAGAGATTTCAGTCCATAATCATCTGGCTCCAAGGCAGAGTGGCACATGGCAGAGGGGCATTGCAGAGGAGAAAGTTCATGGTGCCCACACAGTGGCAAAAGCAACAAGGGAAAATTAACAGCATCTTTCTGCCCCTTTTGTCGTATCCAGACCACCGGGATTAGTAGTGTACTGGTTTAGTAATCGCACTCCCTTAATCCCAGCATCACACATTCTAGCTTCAGTCACCTCTGAAAAAGCCATCTATAACTGCATGAAGCTTTGGGGAGACATTTAGATCCAAACCATAACAGTCTTTTTTGACTTAATCTCAAAAATCAGAAGGTGCTATTTCCATCATACTCCAGAGACCACATTGTTGATCAAGTTAATAGTGGCAAACATATCAAATGGAGGTCTGCTATTTTCTAAGCATCAGAACTCTGAAAGGACATTCCATTCTGTTAAACCAATCCATAAAAAAAGACCTGTGTAATCTAATGGGAAATATAATAAACAATAGAGAATATATGAGCTTTTTGAAGTCATAGGATTAATGTGGCTAAAATGAAAAAAAAAAAGTGTAAGCAAATACAGTGAAAGTTAACCAGCTGTATACCTCCATTGGTTAGAGCTTCTTAACTCTGACTTTCATTTCTTCTACCTTTGGGCTATCCTATAGTGTTCTCCAGCTAACTTCCATAAATTATAGCCATGTCACTGCTATTCTCAGAAATATTTTATGCCTCCACACTGCCAGTGAATCAGTTACAATCTGCCCCACTACTTTGAAGTCCTCCAGTTTATGTTCAACTCTCTCTATGGCTTTATTTCCACCACTCATCCTCACACAGCTGATGTTCTGCCATGCTGGAATAAAATACACAGCAAAAATTAAAGATCCTATATGATTTTTTTTTCTTCATGGCATTCTTGCTTATTGTGGAGGAACCTGGATTTCAGACATCTGACCTATATGCTGTGTAAAAAGCGCATAGGAGGTGCCCAGCTCAGAGACCCTTACCTTTCTGAGAAGACTGGGGCCATCCTCACGGACTCTCCTACTTTCTAATTTTTACTGGCTGTGAGAATGGAAAATTTTGTATGGTGAATTGTTACAAGTCCCTAATTTGGTCCCCAAAGAAGGGTTGTTCTACTTGGAAGAGGAAATAAAAGGAAATTGTATATTTTCTCTAGACAACGTGTTTCCTCTTTGCTTGTATATCTTCTGATGGTAGAATATTCAGTCAGCCACAGCAAGGCATTCTATTCAATGGCATTCTTTGCTGGAAAGCTTGTGCTGAAGAAATAAATCATTGCATTTTTCCATAGGAAATGGGCTTTTATTTTATAGTAAGCTCAGTTCTTTCCAACAGTGCCATTCACTGATATCCTTGAATTGGAGATATATTTTTGAACTGACTGGGTATATATATATTTTTGAACTATACTGGGTATATAGCGCAGAAGCAAATTGTTCCCCTTTTATTCTTGTGGATTGTTTTTGTTTTAAAGTTATTTTGCTTTTTAAAAATATGCCCTATAAATCTTCCAGATTCATGTAACAGGCATGGAAAAATACATACTGTAACCCTCTCATCTAATATAATTGGTATCAGTAGTTGAGAGTTTAATCAAAAGTTTATTAACCAAAAATATGTAGGTGTAGGAGAGGAACGTGGAACTGACTTGGTTCTGGAGGGAATGGAGCGTTGACTAATCTAGTGATCTAGTGAGCACATTGACTAGATTTGGTTAAGAGCACTTCTATTGTGTACTTTATTTCTTTTTCTTTTTCATCCTAGTTTGAATTAGATTTAATAGCTATTATTTTGATGAGATAGTGTGGATTTTCAGTTTGGGTATGTATGCATGTAAGAGAAGAAAAGAGAGGAGAGAGAAATGGTATAAGTTTCACTTTGGTATCAGCTATAGCTTATTTTTGTTTACAGTGAGGAGTTCAGGATCTAGATTCAGATGGTTTTGGTTTAAGTTCTGACCCATTATTTGGTTAACTGGAATCTTGAGCAAATCATGTGACCTTTTAAAAGTTTGGTTTTTTTCCTCTATAGAAAGTATAGTTCCCATAGAGTTCTTGTGAGGCTTAAGTGAGAGAATGCATGCAAAGGGCTTGATAGCAGATGTAGCCTCAGCTCTCATTACACACAACCGCTGGGAGTTACGTATGGAGAAATGACAGTTATACACCAAATTAATCAAGTTCCCTAGGTGATGAACTTATGTCTTTATTGTATCAATATTATCAAGTTTAAGAATTGCTTATAAATTATATTAAAGTACATTTTAAGCTAATTTGTATAAGGGAAAATTTCCACATTGTAGCTTGTAAGCCTTTCTTCTAATAGTAGAGATTTGAAAAGTAGCCTTTCTGCTATTTTCCTCTGTATGTACATAGAGACATATGCTGGCTCAGAATTTTTGTAGAATTTCATCAGCTTGTCCTTCAGCCAATTGTACTTATGTAATATTTACATTTCTCAACTTTTGACTAGGAAATATGCTCATCACATATCTACTTTAGTAACAGAAAGTATTTGGAGCCAGATGTGGTAGCACAAGCCTTATAATCCCAGCTACTTGGGAGACTAAAGCAAGTGTATCAAAGAAGAAAAAAAAAATTGAGCTCAGCCTGGGCAATTTAGTGAAACCTCATTGCAAAATAAAAAATAAAAATAAAAATAAAAAAATAGCTAGAGTTGTAGCTCAGTGGCAGAGTACTTACAAGACTTGTCTGAGTTCCTGGGTTTAATCTTCAACATTGAAAAAAATTTTAGAAAGTAGAGGTAAACCTCAAGAATATAAGGGAGGTAATAAAGATGTATTCTTATACCTATCCAGATGTTCCTTAGTGAAGCTACTATTGCTTCTGGAAGAAAAGGAGCAAGGACCAGATAACAAAGGATAAATCACTAAGGATGAGTGTGGTGTCCTACATTTATAATCCCAGCACTTAGGGAAGCTAGAAGATCACAAATTTGAGCCCAGTCTGGGAAATTTGTGACTTAATGAGACCTTGTCTCAAAATAAAAATATAAAATAAAAAACGTTTGGAAATGCCATTCAGTGCAGAGGCCTTAGGTTCCATACCCAGTGTCACAGAAACAAAATAAAACTAAGGAAAAGTGGTAATTTTTACGTGTTTTATCTTCAGGATAGTTGCAAGGGAAAGGGAAATAAGCAACAGAAGGAAAATACATGTAAGGATTCTAGATAGGTTAACAAGGCCTTTTTGTTTTACCTGCATTGTAGTAATCTGGAAATTTTTTTTAAGTGATGATTTGAGTATCAAGTTGGAGAAACTCAATCAGAATAAAACCTACTATAACTACTCTATTTGAAACTCTGATTTTTTTCTAAAGATCTCAAACATTAACATATTAAAAAATCTGGAAATTAATTTTAAAGTTAAAGCATTCTTTTTTCATTTCCATTACTTTTCCTCTCCAGATGTTTCTTTAAAAAAACTTTTAGTCATTTGTAATTTAAATTTGCCTTGTTTGAACTGAAATATAACTTCAGTACTTAGAAGGAGACATCCAGTAATGCAGGTTGCAGATAATTATAACTTTGCACGGGAGTCAGAGGGGAAGAAATGACTTTAATATAACATCAAAACTGGAATGTGTAAAGGTGAAAATATTTTCCTTAGGAACTTGTAATAATAACATGTTTTAAGAAACAAGAGATAACTTCTTTAAAGCACACAGATTTTTAAAATATATGCCCAGTGATTGAAACAAAATTTCTGATGTATTCATAATTGGTAAGCAATATTTTCTGTAACAACAGTATCTTTTTTTTGCAAGATTTTATGATAAAAATTGTAGGTAACAGGGAAAGGGGACGTTGCTAGAACCTCTGCAGTAAGTCCTAGTCTCCTGTGAGCCACGGCAGCACAAGGCAAATTAACTTATTATACCGGAAAGGTAGAAAAATGAGACTCTGAAAAGAAGCTGAGCTTTGGGTCCGATCAGTCCTTCTCTGGGTGGCAAAGATGAAAGCCCCCAGTTTACTGCACCTTGGGAGAAAAATATGTAACGAATGACTTGCAGAGAGTTCAGTACATCAGGATAAACAAGGTGTAACACATGACTTGCAGAGAGTTCAGTAAACAAAGTGCAACAATCCAAGAACAATGAGGAACTGAGTAGATGAAGATTTTGTTCCTTTCAGGATGTCTTCTTCTGGTGTAATCTTGTCCTGGAGCATCACAGCATTGCTGGATCATTGAGGTCTCAGTTTTGACCGGAGGCCGTAATGGAATTATGTCTCGGAATTCCATAGCTGCCCTGTAGGCAGGTGAACTAGGCCTAATCAAATGATTTTTCCCTAAAATTATGTAGCATTGCTCCGGCCAAAAAATGGTATACATTTCAAACTCCAACAGAACACTGAGAAGACTTGTTTAATTTCAGTAACTTACAGCAGAATTTCCCAGCATGATTATTTTAAATTACAAGATTAAATACAAAGTATTAATAAATGATACCCAGGAAGCAAAACTGGATTTGATTGTTAATGTTTTCATTCAAGATTAATCTCTATGTTTTAATGTCAAAGTATTATTTTTAATTATTGTGTTAAATGAAATTTTAAAGAAGAGAGTAATAATCTGTTCTACTCAGTCATGTGGTTCAGTTTGGTATGACAAATGCTACTAGACTCTTAACTATTCAGGATTATAAAGACAATGATGCAGTGCAGGGTCAGCTACTCCAGGCATGAGGCTTCAGAGCCACAATAGCCTGATGATCTCATTAAACTACAATCATGTTTTTCTCCCACTTGTACTGGCAAATTGTAGACAGGAAGTAATTTGGATAACATCCTATTTCTCTATACAATATCATCAAATCTATAGAATTCTGGCCAAGATAATTATCTCATTTTCACTTGAATAAAGTTAAAGATGTTATGGAATTCAGTGACTCTTTCATGTGAAATAAAATGTATGTAAGACTTTT